TGTAAAGAATAAACAAAAATATATTGTACTCTAATGTACTGATCCAATTCATGTGTCAAATTTTTTTTAAGAATTAACATTTTGTATTTATTCAACACAAATGTTTCTCTAATATATCTTGTGCTTTATCATTTCGGCCTATTTATAGTTGACACGATAAATATTATTAATGTCAAACACAATTATTAATGCAAAGACATTTACTTCAAAACCAGCAAACACTTTTTATTCACATTGAGCTAAGAGTCAAATAAACTAGCTGAAAAATACACAATGCATTTATACGGGTTATAATATTCATGTCTTTATTTCATATAACTAATAAAGTGAGTATTAATCAAAGTGTGTTTTTATTGAACAGTATTTAAAGATGTTACACTGAACGACAACGACGACTTGGTTCAGTTTCTGCAGCTGCTCATTTACACACATGTGACAGCTTTCACAGTGTGTGTGTGTGTGTGTGTGTGTGTGTGTGTGTGTGGGTGTGTGTGTGTGTGTGTGTGTGTGTGTTTGTACTGCAGCGGTGTGAGGACATGGAGCTCGGGGGGTGCGACATGTGTTTTGCTGCAGAGAAACAAACTCCACAAACTGTGTTTTTTGCACTTTAGTTAAAATTCTAGACGATTCTTCTTCTGTGGTGGTTTGTCGTATTTCGTATTCGCGTTTCAGAAAAAAAAATCTGGAAGATTTCAGCCTCCGAGCTGCAGAACGAAGACGCTCCTTTTTTCTTTAATGGCTCACACTGAGTCTCTAAAATAATTCAGATTTTTGTCTCAAACCCGCCTCTCTCTCTCTCTCTTTCTCTCTCTCTGTCTCTCTTTCTCCCTCTCTGTCTCTCTTTCTCCGTCTCTCTCTCTCCCTCTCTCTCTCTGTCTCTCTCTCTCTCCCTCTGTCTCTCTCTCCCTCTCTCTCTCCCTCTCTCCCTCTGTCTCTCTCTCTGTGTCTCTGTGTTTTTTTAATTGGCATATAGGGAGGCTTGTTTGTTTTTGTTGTCTGCTGTTTCTTAAATGTGTGTGTTCGTGTTCATGTGGCCCCCGGTGTCCCAACAAGCACTGCGGTAGGTGTTGGGAGGCGCTTTCGGCGGCAAAAACACACACACACACACACACACACACACACACAACAAGACAATACACACACTCGAGGAAATACAGCAGACGAAAATGGATGACAAAGACGGAGATACACACAGGGACAGAAACGCACAAAGACAACAAATACACAAAGACTCATACCATGGGAAATCACACACAAGTACACACGCACACACACACGACCCGTTAAAACACACCAAACCTTAAAAGCACAGATTCTCATAGAGAAGCACACACACACACACACACACACACTCAGATGGTTGCTTCTCATTGGGCGCCATCTTGTGGCGACATCGACTTCAGAGCCGACAGAAACCTCCTGATGTTTATTCTCTTTAAAATGATCACGTTAGTGATTTCATTCTTTTAAATTAAAGTGCAGTTCATCAAATTATGAACAAAACATGTTCAAACTGCTGCAGTGTTATACAGTTGTGTGAAAAAGTGTTTGGCCCCTTCCTGATTTCTTATTTTTTTGCATGTTTGTCACACTTAAATGTTTCAGATCATTAAACAAATTTAAATATTAGACAAAGATAACACAAGTAAACACAAAATGCAGTTTTTAAATGAAGGTTTTTATTATTAAGGGGGGAAAAAATCCAAACCTACATGGCCCTGTGTGAAAAAGTAATTGCCCCCGCTGTTAAAACATAAATTAACTGTGGTTTATCACATCTTTGGAAAGCTGAGTTCAATTTCTCTAGCCACACCCAGGCCTGATTACTGCCACACCTGTTCTCAATCAAGAAATCACTTAAATAGGACCTGCCTGACAAAGTGAGGTAGACCAAAAGATCCTCAAAAGCTAGACATCTTGCTGCGATCCAAAGAAATTCAGGAACAAATGAGAAACAAAGTAATTGAGATCTATCAGTCTGGAAAAGGTTACAAAGCCATTTCTAAAGCTTTGGGACTCCAGAGAACCACAGTGAGAGCCATTACCCACAAATGGCGAAAACATGGAACAGTGGTGAACCTTCCCAGGAGTGGCCGGCCGACCAAAATTACCCCAAGAGCGCAGCGACGACTCATCCAAGAGGTCACAAAAGACCCCAGAACAACATCCAAAGAACTGCAGGCCTCACTTGCCTCAATTAAGGTCAGTGTTCATGACTCCACCATAAGAAAGAGACTGGGCAAAAATGGCCTGCATGGCAGAGTTCCAAGACCAAAACCACTGCTGAGCAAAAAGAACATAAAGGCTCGTCTCAGTTTTGCCAGAAAACATCTTGATGATCCCCAAGACTTTTGGGAAAATACTCTGTGGACTGACGAGACAAAAGTTGAACTTTTTGGAAGATGTATGTCCCATTACATCTGGCGTAAACGTAACACGGCATTTCAGAAAAGGAACATCATACCAACAGTAAAATATGGTGGTGGTAGTGTGATGGTCTGGGGCTGTTTTGCTGGTTCAGGACCTGGAAGACTTGCTGTGGTAAATGGAATCATGAATTCTGCTGTCTACCAACAAATCCTGAAGGAGAATGTCCGGCCATCTGTTCGTGACCTCAAGCTGAAGCGCACTTGGGTTCTGCAGCAGGACAATGATCCAAAACACACCAGCAAGTCCACCTCTGAATGGCTTAAGAAAAACAAAATGGAGACTTTGGAGTGGCCTAGTCAAAGTCCCGACCTGAATCCGATTGAAATGCTGTGGCATGACCTTAAAAAGGCGGTTCATGCTCGAAAACCCTCCAATGTGGCTGAATTACAACAATTCTGCAAAGATGAGTGGGCCAAAATTCCTCTACAGCGCTGTAAAAGACTCATTGCCAGTTATTGCAAACGCTTGATTGCAGTTGTTGCTGCTAAGGGTGGCCCAACCAGTTATTAGGTTTAGGGGGCAATCACTTTTTCACACAGGGCCATGTAGGTTTGGATTTTTTTCCCCCTTAATAATAAAAACCTTCATTTAAAAACTGCATTTTGTGTTTACTTGTGTTATCTTTGTCTAATATTTAAATTTGTTTGATGATCTGAAACATTTAAGTGTGACAAACATGCAAAAAAATAAGAAATCAGGAAGGGGTCAAACACTTTTTCACACAACTGTATATAATTTGTATGGTAACAGTAATAGAGTGATATGAACACATGTTATTGTTGTCTCACTGTCAAAATACAATAATAAAACACAAGTTATAACTAATAATTAATAATTAATGTTGTAATATTGTTATTGTAAATAGTTTGTTACGAATTATGCTACATTATTATTTAATGATAAAGTATATCATATATAATATTATTTATTATTACAGAAACATTATATATACTATTAGATATTATCATATAATATTTAACTATGATAACAAAATCAAATCCTTCATTATTATTATTGTTAATTTCTTGATTGTTAGTTTTTATTTTTCTCTCTTTTCTGTGCGATAAATATATTTTTTCAAAGTTTATTTACAAAAAGACGATAAAGATTATCAGTTTGAACATTAATGAAATAATTGTGAAAAGAAATGTCAACTTTAAAGATGTGATAATACCAGCAGTAGTACTACCTGTAGTTCTAGTAGTAACTTTGCTGTAATCTACCTCATTGTGTAAAAACAAAAGTGTACATTTAAACTAACATTCAGTATTACAGTATTTCAGTATTACTGTTTTTCCTGTCAGGAGCCATTTCTCACTTGCTGTTGTTGAGACTTTACACCCACCCCCCCGAATCAGAGGCCTTTTCTTCGTCACCCCTCATCATCACCGTCATCAACATCACCATCAACCAGCAACATGAAGGGAAACGAGGAGCGCTAAACGCTCCACTTACATGGAGCTCCTCCGGGGATTCTTCAGTGTAGAGGGTTAGACTAGCTTAGCATAAAGAGTACATCTATCAAAGTACTGTACATGAGTATTAATTCAACGTGCTTTACTTCATTAAATAAACTGTCACTCACACGAGGCTTGTTGTCCTCTTTGCAGATGAGAAATTGGAAAAAACCAGAGCGCCGCGCCTAAAGGTTCAACATTTCAGAATGGATCAAAAAAATGTCGACAGCAGGCCGACGGCTAGCAGCTAACAGTGCTAACAGTGAAACAACGGACAAAAGTGCTGACGGAGCTCACAGTGTTTACCTGAGGGGCAACCGGAGTGCCACTCAGCAAGGCATCGATTCAACATTATGAATCAATTTGACCAAATTCTAATTTGTTCAAGCTTGAGTTGTTTTTATTCAAAAAAATGACATAATGTCAATGATGTTTCTAAAAATGACCTTTATTCTTAATTATTAAACCTTAACCATGTGGTATCATAGACTGTAAATAAGATGTGGACGTAGTCATCTTTATATTTATCCGTTGGTTTGTAGACTCCCGTTTTGAAGCCTGCAGTTCGGTGTTTTGCCGTCGTCATCTTGTTTTTTGTGAACAAGAAGTGACCATATATGGACTGAGGAGCAGTGACGTAGAGACGCCGTATACGTCTCTGGTAGAGACCTGTCAATCACTGTGTAGCCCCGCCCTAAAGCATACCCTGCTTTATGGTCTGTTTGACTCTAAATGGACCATAATGTACTAAATGAACATCATGCTGTATTGAAGAAGACTTGAAACTAGAGATTGAGACCATAAACTCATGTTTACAATGTTTACTGAGGTAATAAATCAAGAGAGAAGTAGAGTCATTTTCTCATAGACTTCTATACAACCAGAGGAGTCGCCCCCTGATGGACACTAGAGAGAATGCAGCTTTAAGACGCATTCTAAACCGAAGTTTGTGTGGTACAAACTGACTATACTCTATAGAAATTAAAATAATCCACATGAATTAATTATCACAGTATTATGTTATTAAAGTAGTACTTTGTAAATCACACAAAAAAGCCACTGAACAACATCTCCAAGTTGATTTTAAAATATTTTTATTTAAACATGATCCAGAAAAAAATACATCTTCAAAGTTCCTGCAGGTAGCAAACACTTTGTGAGCACTTCAGGCAGGTTTGTTCAGAGGAGTGAAGCCACGTCAGAAACATTCGACCATTCAGCAACGTGGACACACGGGACAGCGGCTCTGAGCCTCAAGCTAAACACATTCAGTGGGACAATACTGAGCTGAAACGCACAGCAATCTGTTCATCCGTCACGTTTACATCCTGCCAACACACTCACCCAGAGCCTGTGTTCTAAATATCACAGCATCAAACGTGTGACCTTTCACAGTCAGCAGGCCAGGTTATAGTCCTAATAAAACAAAATAACTAAATCTTGACTCATGTCCACTGCAGGTGGAACTTGAATCAGAAGATCGTCTGGGAGTATCAAAACCAAAACTATCGACTCAAATAGAAGTACTAGAGAAGTACATTTACTTACTTAGAGGAATAATTAGGCTAGTTGTGTAAATGTGTATGTTAATGCCCTTTCTTGCTGGGAATCAGATGAAATGATCCGTACAGCTCTCGTATCAGTCTTTTAAATAGGCAGCATGGTTAGCTTAGCTTAGCACAAAGACTGAAAGCAGGGGGAACAGCTAGCCTGGCTCTGTTCAATGATTGTGGGGAAATAAATCGTTCATCAAAATAAAGTATAGGATCGTGTAAAATCGTCTGTGGGGGACTATTTATTGGCTGGGAGTAGTGGCTTTCTGTAGTCGTCCTTGGTGTGAACATTCTTATCAAAGAAGCCTTTTGATTATTCACTCTGATGTCTCTGGTCTTAAAAAATAAGAGAGGTTAACTTTTGTACATTAAATTACTTGAAATAGAACATTCTTTGCTGCCGAATTGGTTTGTTAGTTATATAACAGCTTTGCCTCCTTCAGGCTCCTTATATTTACAAATCTCGCCACATTATAAATACAGATTTATAAATATATATGTATGACATCAAACATTCGCAGAGTAGTGTATGGTATTTGATTAAGTATTTTATAAATATACAATATAATGTATCAGCTGACTGAGTCTTACTGTCAATGTGAGTTTCCTGCGTCCCCCGAGTCTCAAGTTTGGACTCCAGAGTTCAATTTGCAAAGTTCGAATCCTCCAAGAACTCTGATTTGGCGTTCTCGGTTTTGAGAAAGGCTTATTGTCTCTGGGAACATGACAAATACTGTTACCTGGTCACCCTTTCATAGTACTTCCTGTGCACACCTGCAGTAGCAGATTGTAGCTGAATGGATGAGCTCATCTCCAGCTTCTTTACAATAGATAACACACACACACACACACACACACACACACACACACACACCACTGTTGCACCGTATGTGCACACAATTACAAAACAAGTATTTCAACAAACGCTTGATAAGTCACCTCTTTACGGAGAAACACAAGAGACAGGTGACGTTCCTGTTCCAGGTGAAGCTGAAGACAGAAGCACTGATCAGTGAGAGAGAGAGAGAGAGAGAGAGAGAGGCACGAAGAAGACAAGGCCATGGAGGCTTCAGAGAAACAGCCCTTATTTTTCAGATCTATGGCAGTATAATAACAACATAATAACCCTGATACATGCTGTTCTCCTTTGTCTCTGTATGGGAGGAGTTCAAGATGTAGCAGTTCAACCTTGCCTTGCTTATCGGTAAACAGACGTCTTGTCGAGCCTGACGGGAGGCCTTTTCTGAACCGTCGCTATCCACAGAGCGGCACAAAGGGCAATAAACTGTAATCTTTTTAAAATTAATTTGCGGTGATCATTACAGCCGCCCACCATGTGCTCTGGTGGAAAAAGATTGTAGGAGGAACATGAAAAAAAAATGTCATTTTGAATGCTCAAGTGCCAAAGTATCAAGTGATTTGGAGGAAAAAAGGGTTGAAGTCATGTTTTATGAAGTGCAGAAATTTTAAAAAACCCTTTTCAAATGTTCTCAGTTTTTACTGCATGAAAGCCAGAAATGCATCAAGCCAGATGGCAAGATTGATTCCAGCATAGCGGGCTGAATTTCCCAGTGCTTACGAAACTAATTTTCTACGTTTACATTAAAACAAAGTGATGAAGTGTTCTTGAGAAAATACGCTGTTTACATACTAGACTTACTGATCATCTTTATTTTTGCTTCTATTCGTGTACTGGTTGTTTATACCTCTCTTATTATTATTTATTCCGTCTTTGTGCTGCTGCAAACTCCAAAAGGATCGGGCTCATCTTCCGTCCACACAACTTCATTTGACAAATATCTCCGTCCACACTAGAGAGCAAAAACTAACGTCAACGATATGAGAAACACCAGAGAAGATTCTGAGTAAACGTAATGAGATTTTACTCTGGCGGTATTCAAACAATAGTAACTAATTATACAATACCTATTCATTATTAAATATCTTTCTGGTCCACGAGGTGCTATGAGGCAAAACTGAAATGTGACTTTTATGTGTCGACGGACGACGAGTTGAGTTTGTGCTTAGCATCACTTTACAGTCCCGGTAGCACCACTGGATCGTGCTCATTACACAAAGCAACAATAGACATGTTTCCCAATGCTCTCTTCTTACACATCCATGAGGATTCAAAGTAACCAGAGTTTTGAAAAGTATGCACCTTAAAAGGTGTTTTAAAACTGTGTTTTCGTGATGTAAAAGTTTAGTGATATTCTCATGTCGTTAACGTGTAGGACAACGTAAACGACAACAGCTAGTTCCCTTCGCCAAGGAGGTTATGCTTTCAGCTCGGTTTGTCTGTACACGCATTATGTTTCACTTTTATTAACATTGTGAGATCGGGTATTTTTAATGCTTTCATGTGGTGTTTATTGGAAACAAGTTTGCCGATGTTTGTTGGTTAGAAACTGACAGCACTTTATTTAACTTTGCCAACAAATAGAAGTGAAAAATTACTTTTCAGACTTCCAGACGGACTTTACCGTGATCAGATATTAGGCTTTTTTTCCCATCTACTGTAAAATGTAAAGCACAGCTGAGTCACCAGAAACGGAGAGCAAGTTTAAAAGCAGTTGCTGTCCGGCCAACATTAGCTGACATTTTTAAAAAATAGTGATAAAGGAGAGTTGGCAGTAGGGCTGAAACTAATGATTATTATCATTATCGATGAATCTGTCAATTGGTTTTTAGGTTAATTGAATAATAAACTTCCCAAAGGGAACATTATCCAAAAGACTAACTGGGCTAAATATTGAGAAAAAATATGAGTCAGATCCTGACTTGAATTTGTATCCCATTCAAAGAGAACAGCTGTGTATTTGGGCTATTGGTACAGTAAATGTGATAAGAAACTAACAACATTCACTTTGCTAACAATTGACGCTACGTAGCATTTAGCTGAAATTCAGTCCAACTGAGAACTACAAACACACTATGCTGCGTGTTATTTTTTGAAAACATAAAAGTTTTACCCCCTTTAAAAAAAAAAAAACAATGTTTGTAACAGTTTTCCTTCATAGAGAAAGACAGACGGCCATTTTGTTGTTACACCACAGTTGGCCACACCCACTGAAAGGGGAGCTCTGCTACCATCGCCTCCCTGTGGTCCAGACAGAAATACATGAAATTAAAATCTCACAAAGATTAAAAGAAAAAGAATCCTTGGAAATGCAAAAAAACATAAACGTGGAAACAGTGTTCGGACAACTTTACCCAGAAAAGAATACTGACAAACTAAAATATCTATGTATCTTGCAGTTTTGTGGTATTTGTTGACACAGATTCTTGAGCAATTGAGGATTTTCATTCCAAAATGCTATGTATCCATTTTTCAGAAAACAAAAGGTACCTGAAACGTACAGTACTTCATCATCTTAGTGAACGGTTTCTTTTTACGGATGCAGCCGGTTTATTTGTGAATAACTACATCACTTTGGATATCTTGTTTTGCAATGAAACCCCCTATTTTTCATTGAAGGAAAACATGAGGAACTACATTTGTTAACTTTCCTTAGTAGAGTTTCAGTTCTATAAAGAGAAGACATTTATAGCTTTCAATAATTACATCACACGCAAAGAAAACAGCCCTGAACACTGATGATGCTTTTCTTAATTTTTGTGTTTTTTGTAACTCAAAATTATTTTTACTGTTGATTAATGTAAAAAGTATTTAATTGATAAAGCATTTTAAATTAATTCTACACAAGGTCAAATCCAGTGGACGATTTTAGTGGGGATGCGATACTCTTCGCATGTCCCTGCCATCCCCAACATATGTTGGTCTGTTTGACTCATTCATCTTTATCTGACTAAGGTTTGTGCAAGTTAGAATCTATGGCCCCCGACCATGACTCTGAAATATCAGTCAGTGACAATCTATGACACAACAAACAATTAACAAATCGCCTACTGGTCAAATGTAACATTCAACGAGAGGCACGAACTTTGGTGGGAAGTTTTGTGTCTTCCGAACGTAAATGAAAGCTGCTTCCTCATAGCGTCTTTTTTCTGATTGTCTGAAACAAGAAGTGCTGCGTTTAGTCTCTTTCATAAATAACGTGTCAAGTTTGAAAACTATGGAAGTGCTTTGCATTCACCAAAGAAGAAATATTTGCTGTGACTCATCATTTCATAATTAGGAGATGTGTTTACTCATCCTAAAGACCGATATCTGTGTTATGGATCCTTGTTTTGTTATTACAAGGTCATCTTCTAGTTTTGAGCGTTGCGATTATAACATATAGATCTTTATATTTTTTTATCTTTATAATTACAAGGTATGCTGATTTGAACTGTTTCCTTGATTATCTTCTGTAGGGTCTTATAAGAAAAGAATTACGAAAACCTGACCTGATACTAACAAAACAAGGATCTCGTAGTAAAGAGAAAAGATAATTAAATAATTATGCTTACAAAACTGAGACCTAAAATGAATTATAACCTCGTTATTAAGCAACAAGGACTTCATAATTACAAAAAGAAATAGTTGAGATCCTTCCCTCGTAATTTGAAAACAAGTATCTCATAACCACAAGATAAAAATGATCTTAATGTCCTAACAGACATTAAGGCTTTCAGCTAAAGTTAACTTGCAGAGATCTTCATCTTATAATAATGAGATAAAGACCAAAGTAAGTGAGATTTTTATTCTTGTAGTGAATGCAATGCGCATCCTTAATATCTCTCTAATGACGGATGCTTTTCAGTCAATGAAGAAATTTTAAATTTGTTTTCAAATGTTTTGTTGGTTAGTTTAGTAAAAGTGTTGAAGTATCTTTAAAATGTCTCCTCATTTGTTTTGATTTGTGCTTTTCTTTAATTTTGCAACAGTTGCTGGTTCTCGTGTTGGAGCCCCGTCCTCAGAGTTCACTGACCCTCTCGCTGAGGGTCTCCAGCTCCTCCTCGTGCTCCTGGTAACACTCCACCGGCTGACTGCCGTCGCTGCGGGGACCGTTGGCGAGGTGTGTGGGGTAGTCGAGGCCGCTGAGCTGGGCGTGGTGATGCCAGCGCAGGTCGTCGCTCTCGTGGGTGATGTAGCGCTTGTTCATCCGGGACTCCAGGTTCCTCAGGTCCAGCCACATCTGGTAGTCCTGGTGGAGAAAGCAAGCGCGCCCTAAAACATACTGGTCCCAGAATTGTTGTCAAATTTTAACACTTTCATTTTTTAATTCATGACGTTTTCTTTTTTATATAGTTAGGGCTGGTTCAGGTTTATAGTTAGGGCTGGTTCAGGTTTATAAT